TAATTAATTTGGGATTTAATCCGGGAAGTATAAAAGGTGTAACGTCAACGCTGATGTACGAAATGTCACGAATAAAGGACACGTGAATATTTTCCGCATACTTCGGAATTCCTACCACTTGTTGCACGGCCCGGTCACGCACGTTGGAGAAGCTGTTTGTTGATACAAGTACTTGTTGATAAAATACATGGAGCGTTTGCACATTATACCAGATAACGCGCGTCTTTCATGTTCCTGCCGAGATGGGCCGAGCGAAGCGATCGAGACAATTCGGAAATCGAAAATCATCCCAGCCGGGAAATTCGCAGGTTTCGAGATATAAACGAAGCGAAGGTAATTCTTCGTCAAAGTCGAATTCACGACTCGCTAGAAATATTCATTTCCTCCATCGGGAATATTTATTTCGGGCGGGGTAAGCACGTGTATCCTTTCTCGTTCCTTCTGTCGACCCATCCAAGGTCAAATACAGGTAAACATTCGACGAAATACCGAGCGAGACTTTGCCTTACTGCCTCGATGACATCTCAAAATTATCACCTGCTCTAATTTCGTCCGACGATTCAATCTCGATCGCCGCGATATCGACCGTTGATTTCCACAGGCGACTTTAAAAAAACTCCGATACCCAGGATTTACGCCAGAGTCGGGTAAACCCGTTAAAAAAGCTATCCCCTAACCCTCCCCGAAGCACGGCAACAAACAATATCACCGTGGAGCACCATCTGACTAATAATAGGATCCGTTCCCACCGAGCGTGACGTCTTCTTATCAGTCCTCAATTTTTCATCGGCGTTTCTCCGCTTTTTACCCGACCCCGGAAAAATATACCGCCTTCGAGGGCCGGTCTCGAAACGTAAGATAAGAAGAATCACTTCGAATCTTAACAACGACCGGTTGCACGAAAACCGAGAGAACAGGCGCCGACCACGAGGTCGTTTACACCGTTACAAAAATGTGCAATAAATTCATGAAACGCGTACCATAAGTTTCATCGAAACCTGCTTAATCCATCATTTCGCCGTATCATTTTACAAGTAAAAGAAAAGAAAAAAAAATAATTCCCCAACAAAGCTTCGTAAAATTCGAAACTTGCTCATTTCGCGATGGTTACAAAAATGTATATACCGTTACGAAAACGGTTACAAAAGTATATATACCGTCATAAATATGTGTAATAAATTCATGAAACGCGTACCATAAGTTTCTTCGAAACTTGGCTAATCCATCATTTCGCCATATCATTTTACAAATTAAAAGAACAAAATTCCCCGACAAAGCTTCGTGAAATTCGAAACTTGTTTATTTTGCGATGGTTTTAACCTTAAAAGCGAAAGTTTAAAAATCATCGGGGGTGATTTTTCACTTTATCGAAACTTTCTGCCTAAATCGGACCAGGTTTAGACAATTTTAAACCGCATAGCCGAGTCGAAGCGTCGACTCGGTCGATTCGAAAGCAGCCTTCGCCTCGGCTTAGGATCGCCGCGGTGAGATTCCTTGCTGGGAAAACGATTTCTCACCTGGCCGAGCTCTCGGCGCTTACGAGAGTGCTCGAGACCGAAGGCTGCCGATGAAAAGATGGAAAACACGGGAGATGCCGGCCATTTTAAATGCTCCGAGCGCGCCCGCTAATCGTCGCGTCACTCTACGAACGAAGAGAATTGAGAAGAAAAAGCAGAAAAAAAAAGGAAAACCGTGCAAAAATAAAGAAAATGAATCTATAAATTGTCAGTGCTTTTGATTGCTCTTAAGTGCTTGTAAAGCCTCGAAAGTCTGAACACAGCGTATGTCGTCGACTCATGCTTTACCCAATATAGCCTGCGGTCTCCTTCCTCTTCCTCGTACATTTCTTTTCATTTTTTCTTTCAAAAATATAGGACACATATCGTCATTCCCAGAATATAAATATACTCCGTACTTCACTTTAACGTCCTTCGAAAAGTTACAAAATCACAGCGTGCGGAAAAACCGGGGAATAATTATTTCTCAAGATATCTCCAATTTTCAGGGGCATTGTTTCTACGATCGTTCCAATGCGACATCCAAGTCGAAATTTCGATCCTGCTCGGGAGCTTTAATTCGAGGCAATAATAATAAATAATTATTAAATTGAGATCCAACATTAGACCTCAATGGTGGCAGATATTTCCATTTCTTCAGCTTATAGTCCTTCGGTAGGATTGAATAAAATATGACGTATAAGGATCGAAAGGAGGATTCAAAAGAGTGAAACAAGGCGAAAAGAGTAATTCAGGGCAAATGGAGGGTCAAAATTTCGAGTCGGGCAACGAAGCCACGATCGGAGAGGATTTTCGACGAAGTCGAAATGGCCCCGGTGCTTTTTCGGGGCCGAAAAACAGGGAAACGGGTTTTGTCAAATAAAAAAAACAGGTTTTTAATCACAGACTCTGTGCCGTTCCATCGGAGTTGTGTCTGGGAACGAGGGGCTGAAGGGGGAGACCAGTGGATTCGTAAGGCAGGAAGATTACCTCTCGATTACGAAAGAGTGTCACGCACGGGGGAGGAGAGAGGAGGACGGAGGATCAGGGGGACGGGCGGATGGAGAGAGAAAGACGGTGGCCCGAGGCCGGCGGGGAGCGGGCGGAAAAGTTGACGGAAAAAGAGACACAGAAACAAACGGACAGGCCGAGATGACCGACGGACTTGGTTTTCGCATTGGGCACGTCTGAGAGATAAAAAAAAATACGCTCTCCTCGACGTAGAAATAAATGACGATCTCAAGTGACGTAGATGGACATTCATCCGCCGCCGAAAAGACGCACTTTCGGTAGACGACCACGAGGGTAGTTTTATTAGTTTGAAAGAAATAAGAAAAATACGCTTTCCTTGACGTTGAAATAAATGACAATTTCGAGGAACATAGAGAGAAATTCGTCCGCCGCGAAAAGTCGCATTTTCGGAAAATGTCTACGAAGTAGTTATCAGTTTGTGAAAAAAATAAAATAAAAAAAGAATCTACGAGCACAACGGTAGTTAACAGTTTCGTTACTCTCAAAGCCTTCCATTTCCCTTTTCCTGCCACTTGGCCGAGAGCTGTTAAACTTCTTCCTGGTTCGAGCGCGGCGCCATTGTTACGTGCAATAAAGGTAATCCACACTTCAATGGCGCGCCGCTCTTTAGAGGGGATTACTATTTTCAGGCAAATCACCGGTCCAAGGGTTTGTTTCCCACCCCGAAATCGCTCCTTTGTGATATTACTTTGATTTTACGGGGAAAGAAAAATCGAAGTAACGGACTCGGCGTACGGGTGCAAGAGAGACACCTCGGGGAAATAGAAGACTCCAGTTTGGGCTCCCTCCGAGAATTTCCCTAGCAGGTAACGAGGGAACTACCTGGGAATGAATCAACAGGTGAATCGGCGCAGGGCGACCATTTCACAGGCCTCGAATAATTCCGCTACTTTCGCGATAAATATCACTGGCAAAGCCAATTTTACTACATCAGTACATTGTGGGTTTTCGCACGCATTAAAGGAAATGCGAAAATAATTGCTCCCCCCTTGGAATCATAGAATAATCGTGTTCCTCTACCCTCAGGAGAAAAAAAAAGTATCGTCGAACGGTACCACTATTTTCTCTTTTCACTTGCAAACTTTACAAGGTACCTTATCGTGATTATAAATGCATCGCCAATTATTCAAGCACTAACGGGAGTCTGTACAATCAGCATTTTCGAGTATTTACTCGGACACCCCGAGACCTCGAATAAACCTTCGTCCTCATCGCAGCTGATAAACTAGATACGGCTAAATATTCGAATCCTCCGCGATGAAATCTTATCTTTGAATCAAACCTCTCGTACCGTTTATAGTACCGCGCTACCGTGCAACTAGTCCCGGAAGTTGAGCAGGCACGTTAAAAGAGAATGTTTAATCAACCCCCAGGTGTACTCAGGTGGTCTTCACGAAATATCTCTTATTGCACCTCGACCTAACCTCAAAGTGGACAAGGAACTCCTTCGGAGAAAATTTGAGACTTCCCCGGAAATAATTCCGGATTTCGGAGCACTGAAATATTAAAGCAATACTTGAATTTATAAGATTCACGAACGCGGAACCGTGAAAAAAATCGTTCTTAAGTAACTCTTAAACTGTTTTCCGTTTCCCTTCTTTTTTTTTTGTTTTTAAGGACAATGGCAAGAACCCTCGATTGGAGCGAGAGGCGCGCGACGTGCGGGAACTCGACCCGGACGCACCTGGTCCGAGATATAAGTGAGGTTAGGAACGTTCCCCCGACTTCCATGGAACCGTTCCCGACGGTTACATCAAAACCCTCGTTCCACGCGAAACCATCGAAAGAAAACCCCCAAAACTCGATTGGAAGTGATTATTAATATAGGAAGTCCAAAATACCGTTTATAATTCAGTTTGAAAACCATTCCATTCGATTCAAACATTCGTATTCGTTCTTACTCCATTCTAACGTTCGCGGCCGTTCATCCTCCATTCCAATTCTGCCCGTTCTAAATTTCACTTTTCTTCGTATAACTTAGTGCGTTAAAACAATCGCTTAATTTTAAACAAGAAACGACTGTCGGCGTTACTTTGGGACACCGAGTAATATTCCTTTCCCAGGGCGTCGATAAAAATCGCGGGGAAAAACAAAATACCTGGAACGTTCGAAAGTTCTTTGGCATTACACCGATAAAAATGCCCTGGTAATTTACACACTCACTCATTGGTTATTCTGATGCCACGTTAAATCACAGTAAAATCATATTCAGCATCTGAGTAAAATTACAGAAAATTACGATGTAACATTACATTAAATTCGAGTAAACCTGCTCCAATATGGTAAATACACAATGTTAGGTGGATTCAAACATTTTCCAATTTGTAATTCTTCCATTTTACCTTTCCCTATATAAAACTCAGGTTACGAGGTGTGTAAAAATGTATGTAAATTTCCATAGCAATTTTTATCAGCGTAGGTCGCGACGGTCGGCAGGAAGCGGTTTCCGCCCGGGAGAATTTTATTCGATACCTTGTTCTGCGCGGTGTCAAGGACGACGTATACGAGGAGGGTGATCTCCTCCTCGTCGGATCCGAGCGCGTTGCCCTGGAGTCCGGCGGTGGCGACATAGAGGGCGACCAGGTGGCCGGGGTTCCTGGGGGGCCCGGCGAGGATCTGCATGTCGGCTCTGGGGTGGCGCGTCTAGGTTAGGTCTCCAGTCGGAGGATGCACGGCACCGGCGCAGGCGCGGCGCTCAAGGCGACATCGCTCGCCAGAGGTGAGATCGCTCGCCAAAGGTGAGCCCGCTCGCGGAGAGGTTAGGGAGGGCGCGTCCTCGGGCGCGCAAGGTGCGAGAGGAAGATGGCGGCGGCCGTCCAGGGTCCGTCGACGTCGGGGGACGCGCACCGGCGCCGAGCCGACGGCGACGAGCCAACGAGCACCCTGGAGCACACACCCGCGAGCGCGCGCGCTCTCTCGCGAACGCACCGGCGCGACGGAGAGCCGTTTTCCGCAGCCGAGGATCCGCTCCCGAGATCGCACACTCGACACTGCCGCGAGACCGTCGGGCCCGAGTGCGCGAGTGCGCGCGCCGCCGATTGGCCGCCCCCCGAACCCGTTGGCTCACCTGCCCGCCGCGGCCGGCTGCGATTGGCCGCTCTCACCTCGCCGCCGCCGCCGCCGCCCGCCGCGAGGGCGCGAGCGAGACGCCGCTAGCGGGCCCGCCTCTGGCGCGGCGAGAGCGACGGAGAGGGAGAGAGAGAGCGGCCGAGCATGCGGGCCCGACTCCGGGAAATGGGAAACGCGCCGATTTTTGCGCCGCCGATCGCCGAACCGGAGACGCGGCTGAGATTTATCGTTAGAGCACATTTCGGCGCGCGGCCCCGGAGAGATTTGCCCGTTGTTTCGAACGAAACGGGGAAAGGCTGGTTGCTCGTAGGAGGGGAAAGGCGAGGGGCGAGCGAGCCAGGTGCCGAAGACGCTCCACTCGCGGTCCCGTAACGGCCGACGATTCGCGCCCGCCGCTTTTCGGCAATTTCTTCAATGGGAACGGGAAAGTCGAGCGAGATTCCGAGATAGGGCCGATGCCACACCCTGGAGACGCTGCCATTGAAAATTATACCCCGGGAAGACCGGATCCGCGAATCGAGATATACCGAGTGGCCTCGATCGCGGAAGATTACTCCCGGAGAGGGGAAATCGAACGAGCGGATGCCGCCGTGATCGTCGCTCAGGAATATAAATCTCATATCCCGGTGTATTTATAGGATGTAACGGAGTTTTTAAGGCGTTCGGAATTAAGGTGTCGTACTTATGTTCCGTGGTTTATTTCCAGGTATCTGGAATCCTGCTGCGGAGCTCCCTGCTGATGTAACCACGGAACGAATCTCGCTTCTAGAATGCAGTGGAGCGATCTACGTGATTTTCTCACGAGAAGGAGACGCGACTGCCAGTTCGGGCAATGGAGAGTCTCAGGATACGTGACCAACGATAATCCATTATGATATGGAAATGCAGTTCCGAGTTATCGGCGTCTCAGGGAAGACCGATGTTGGATGGAAACCGGGAATCTGCGATGCGTCGATTGGGAAAGGATTTAACCGTACGATGGGATTTCATTTTAGCGGTTTGTAGCCCCTTGGCGTATACTTATGGACCTATCGTTTATTACGTTCCCTGGTAACGGAAGATCGGACGTACATCCACCTGCCCTGGACGGATAGCATCAGGGAGCTGAACCGAAGCGCAGCGAAAGCAAAAGAAGCGCCGCTTTGCGCTTCGCGCTGGAGCGCAGGGAATACTTATCGGACCAGTTTGGAGTGAGCCTAGAAAAGCCGTTCCAAGCCAGCCGGACGGGATGGCACTCTTCGAAGACTCAACCAACTGTGGGACGAGGGAGAAAAGGAAAAAGGTACGCTGTTTGCAGAAATGGCTCCACTTATCGCGGTATCGGAAAACACCTCGGCGTTAATTGAAACGGACCCCGGAAGATACATCTTGGCCTGGGACGCGTCGAAGATAACGCATACGTTATGTGGTAAATAGGTGGAATTTTTCAATATGCAGTGCAGGTGATATCCGTGATACGTAAATCAATCGCATGCCCGCGATCATGACCTGTCCGGGGATGTATATAATCAAGGTACATGGTTTTTTCAGGGGAACATTTGCGGAGAGGAATGCCGCCGGTCGTCGGGATCTCAAAATCGAAAAGTGAAACTACCCAGGTAAGGGGAAAAGAGAGTATACGAGAAAAGAGAGTCGCTAAAGTACCGGAGAAAGGAGTGCTCCGACTCGTTGAACCGCTCTCCTCGGTTCCCTCGGCAGTGCTCCGACGAACGTTCGGCGTGCTCGATTTCACGAAAGTTATAATTTCATCCCGTGGTCGACGGGTTTCTTAATAAACATGTAAATCGAACGTCGGAGTGTCGAGTCGAGAGGCTTTTGAAATTTGATCGAAGGCCCGGGCAAGAGAGACTTCGCGAGAAAGTCGTTCGGAGAGGCTGCGGTCGAATTTTAACGAGTACGTTTGCGAAGCGACGAAAGATGTTCTTTATGTACGCGGTATGATGGGATTTTAAGATCTAGCGTTTTTAAGCGTCCAGGGAATCGTTTATACGGGAGCTTCCAGGACGACATCTCTCTTGTTTGGTCGAACTTTCCGACCGAAAGTGAATTCTAGTCTCACGGCCTAAATGCCGCAGGTGCGTAGTAGCCAGGCCGGAAGTTTAGGGCAGGCGATGAATCGCACCCTGTGAACGGCACCGGTCCCACGTTGCTTTGAAAATGTCGGAGTATGACGATTAGACATCTTTTTACAACGAATCGACCTTATAATGTTGTTCACGTTGTCGGAAAAATGGTATTTGTGTCAGGTACCTTCTCACGTGTTGGGACTCCTCGAGGCGTCAAGGTGTTTTCCTACTGACTGTTGTAAATATATGTTAGGCGCGATAGCGGGCGACTGAAATATCGCGGATATCGCAAAAGGTGGAAAAATGGAACTCGGTAAGAAAAGAGAAAGAGAGAGAGATACCGCGTCAAAGCACTTCGGTAGCGACTCAGGTGGCGAAGACCTTCCTCTCGGCGGGTCCCGTTCCCTCGACGCCAAGTCCGCTGGCCCGATTCCTCCCTTCCTAGGGAATTCCGCAGCGCGAAGAGAAAGGGCTTCTTCGTTTATTTAAAAATCGATCCATTGCGATCCCCGATGCTGGCAATGCCTTCTTCGTTCCTTTCCTGGCCAATCTCCATAGATATCTGATCGAATTCGTTCCCCTCTATAACGACTTGGGAAAAGGAAAGGATTTAACATCGAAGCTGTAAAAACACCCGGTTATTTCGTAACTTCTTTCACGGGTTAAAGGGAAGTACCCTGATATGATTCTCGCAATTTAGGTGAGATTCATTCCTTATTTCCCTATTATTTCCCATTTCTGATTGTTCTCCTTCCTCGGCAGTGGAGGAGGTGGAGGAAGTTACGGCCCTGAAAATCAATTATTAATAAATGCAATTAGGTAATTTTATAAGAGTACATTTATACGTCGAGAAGCGATTACACGTTTTCGCAGATGCAGAGATTATAGTCGAGTGATATTTCTGTCGCGGTATGTAGATAATGTTTTTAAGAAGTTTTCGAGAATTGCAATCTAAATCGGCGCTTTAAAGACGTTGAGGAAGATGCGCGCCTAGACTGAGAAACTGGAGTTCTATTTAGACGCGATATCTCGGAGTCCTTATGTTATATTTTTATTTAGCTACTTCCGAACGGCGGTAGGCTCTATATTATCAGCGGACCTTGATAGGAATCAAAGAGCTCCGACGTCACGCCAGGTAACGCCAGACCCTCCACTCCGATTACGGTGTTTCCTCGCTCAACGCGCGGTAACATTTACCACCGACTGCGTTTACTGCGTGCCGAATGGAGACCCCGGGGAATTAAATTAATACGAATTACTTGCTTCGTAAACTTTCGACAGAGACGCATCCACCGAGGTAAAGCGGAAACCGTGGAAATGAGAGAAAAAAAAAAGAAAGAAAGAAAATATTCCGCCAGACATTCCTTGCGAAGTAGTTCCGACGAGGAAGTAAATGAAATAAACATTTCTGGAAGGTAAAGAAGTACCTCGGCGTTCGATTTAATATTAATCGATAGGTCGAGCTTGAATTCAATTAGCGATTGAATATTTTTCAATCTTACAGGGATCGCGAGCTGGTTCGGTGGGAAAAAAGAATCGACGGAGAAAACACGAGACGGACAAGTGTTCCAGGAGAAACCGTTGTAACGCGAGGTACGAAAAAGCGCGATAGAATGGAAAGGCGCAGTCATTGGACGGCTCGGAGGGTCTAAGGGAAAGGTAGGAAATCAAAGAGGCCCGACGTCACGCCAGGTAGCGTGGACCCTCCATTCGGCCCGACGCCACGACGCCGGTTTTCTTGTCACGTAGCGTGCGGTAAAGCTTTTCGCTCTTGGCATGCCTCGACGGCGGGTTCTTTACATTTTTGTTAACCTCCCGGCTCGTAAACAAAAGACGATCGCAAGAAACGAGCGCTGAGAAAAATCGGAAATACGTCTAACCGAGGAATCGCGGTTACGTTGCGTCGACGCTGATTTATGGATCGTCAAATTAATGTAAATGATATTTATAGGTAGGACGCGCATTATTAATTACCTCAAGTAAGTGTGCGGGTATTCACGCAATTCGATATGTACCGTGTGCACACGTGACACGAGGCAAATATTACGTCACGTGGGTGCAAAGATGCAGCCGCGGTGAACCCGAAACGCGCCATGTGCATCGGTGACGTATCTTCGAAACGACGCCACGTACGGAATGCGTTTCAGTGATAAATATTGTGCGGTGATTAAGTAAAAAAAGAGAGAAAGATTTACATAGGCAGGTTAGAGCCTTTGTAACGTTATGGCCGTGCCCTCGAGATAAATCCTAGAGAGGCGTGCGCGTTTATGCATACTTCACGTTTACTTTAATCCCCTCTTATAATTCCAAAGGCACAATGCAACGGCAGAAATCACGGGTCAAATCTCGGAATGAATTACGATTAAATTACAGCCCGCTAGATTGTGTTTTTGCGCGGCGCGACGACGTTTGGCCATCTCGCAACCCGTAAACGACGTAGTTGCTGCTCTGCCCCCGATTCATCCCTTCCTAGGGAACCTCCCCGGGAGAAGGGAGAACCGGCAGAGGTAGACGCCTTCGTTCCTTTTTTCTCTCTCTCTCTTTTCTTTTCTTTTCTTTTTTTTTCATGAGAACTTCATTGCGAACCGCGATGCGCACGACCCGCTGACGATTTTGCGCGCTTAACGGTGCAGCGATGCACCCAGAGGTACAGCCCGTGGCATTAGCGATTTTCCATTTTCCCCGTCTGCACGATATCCATCGCTTGAATTCTCTACAACATTGCCTAGTAAATTCGCGATTATAACCGCATTTCAAGTGACATCTCCAAATACATATGCAATTTGCTTCGGACGGTGCCTTCCATAAGTACCTTTCGTATGCTAGATGAAAGTACATAAGCGAGAGCGGATCTCGTGGA